GAGGGAGGCAACCTAGTGACAGAGGATGTGGGAAAAGCTAATGTACTCAATGTTTTTTTTGCCTCTGTCTTCATGAACAAGGTCAGCTCCCAGACTACTGCACTGGGCAGCACAGCATGGGGAGGAGGTGACCAGCCCTCTGTGGAGAAAGAAGTGGTTCGGGACTATTTAGAAAAGCTGGACGAGCACAAGTCCATGGGGCCGGATGCACTGCATCCGAGAGTGCTAAAGGAATTGGCTGATGTGATTGCAGAGCCATTGGCCATTATCTTTGAAAACTCATGGTGACCCGGGGAAGTCCCAGACAACTGGAAAAAGGCTAATGTTGTGCCCATCTTTAAAAAAGGGAAGAAGGAGGATCCAGGGAACTACAGGCCAGTCAGCCTCACCGCAGTCCCTGGAAAAATCATGGAGCAGGTCCTCAAGGAATCAATTCTGAAGCACTTAGAGGAGAGGAAAGTGATCAGGAACAGTCAGTATGGATTTACCAAGGGCAAGTCATGCCTGACTAAGCTAATTGCCTTCTATGATGAGATAACTGGTTCTGTGGATGAAGGGAAAGCAGTGGACATGTTATTCCTTGACTTTAGCAAAGCTTTTGACATGGTCTCCCACAGTATCCTTGCCAGCAAATTAAAGAAGTATGGGCTGGATGAAGGGACTATAAGCTGGCTAGAAAGCTGGTTAGGTTGTCAGGCTAGCTCAGTGGTTTGAGCATTGGCCTGCTAAACCCTAGGGTTGTGAGTTCAATCCTTGAGGGGGCCATTTAGGGATCTGGGGTAAAAATTGGGGATTGGTCCTGCTTTGAGCAGAGGGTTAGACTAGATGATTTCCTGAGGTCCCTTCCAACCCTGACATTCTATGATTTGGGGCTGTATAAGTAGGAGCATTGCCAGCAGATCAAGAGACGTGATCATTCCCCTCTATTTGGCATTGGCGAGGCCTCATCTGGAGTACTGTGTCCAGTGTTGGGCCCCACACTACAAGAAGGATGTGGAAAAATTGGAAAGCGTCCAGCGGAGGGCAACAAAAATGATTAGGGGACTGGAACACATGACTTATGAGGAGAGGCTGAAGGAACTGGGTTTGTTTAGTCTGCAGAAGAGACGAATGAGGGGGGATTTGATAGCTGCTTTTAACTACCTGAAAGGGGGTTCCAAAGAGGATGGATCTAGACTGTTTTCAGTGGTAGCAGAGGACAGGACAAGGGGTAATGGTCTCCAGTTGCAGTGGGGGAGGTTTAGGTTGGATATTAGGAAAAACTTTTTCACGAGGAGGGTGGTGAAACACTGGAATGCGTTACCTAGGGAGGTGGTGGAATCTCCTTCCTTGGAAGTTTTTAAGGTCAGGCTTGACAAAGCCCTGGCTGGGATGATTTAGTTGGGGATTGGACCTGCTTTGAGCAGAGGGTTGGACTAGATGACCTCCTGAGGTCCCTTCCAGCCCTGATATTCTATGATCCTATGGAGGGGAGAGGAGGCAAAGTCACCCAAACCCTGCCTGCTGCAGCAGGAGGCAGAGGGTCCCTTGCCATAGTGGTGCCCCCACAGCTTCTCCAGTGTCAGGAGGCTACAAGAGAATCAGGCTGAAGAGCAGGCAGCACGGAGCCATTCCTGAGAGAGGCCCCACAACGCAGGGAAGTGTCTGACCAGCAATCAAAGGGCCCCAGAGGGTGAGAGTCCGGCTGAGTCAAATTTCTTCACACACCCCTCTGCCCTTACACACACACACACCCCTTTGCCCTTATACCCCCACACACCCTCTCTGCCATTCCACACCCACACACCTTCTCTGCCCTTACACCCCCACACGCTCTCTGCCCTTACACCCCCAACCCCCACACACCCCCTCTCTGGCCTTGCACACCTACGCCCTCTCAGCCTTTACACACACACACAGCCATTCCAGCTGGAGCATCTCAGAGCACCTCAGAAAGCCCAGAGCTTTCTGTCCTGTTTATAACACAGCCCTGTCACCAGGATCAGCCCACTGCTGGAATGAAGCTCTGCCTTCCAGCGTCTCCTCTCCCTGCAGCCCATCTCACAGTTATTGCTTACGGTGGGTTTGGGGGAATAAGTAACACCTATATTGTACCTTTCATCAGAGCATCTCAGCTCTCTCTGCCTGAAACCTGCACAACACCTTCAAGAGACGAGCCTGGGAAGTGGAACTTAAATCCATAACTCTGCCAGACACTAAAAACCAGGGACTTAACAGAGACGCTAAAGTGGCTTTATGGCCCATTACACATCCTGCTGCCTGCTAACTCTGGTTCTCTGACCACTACAGAGGTGTTCATTGCTCACTTTATTTTAAGGGATCTCTTACATGTGTGAACCCATATGCTTAACAATCTGTCCCACCTTGTACTTAGCTCAGACACTTTGGTTACCTTCTCCAGACCTGAAGAAGAGCTCTGTGTAGCTCAAAAGCATGTCCCTTGGGCCAACTACACGCAGCATTTGGCATGGCTCATATCCTTTTTGTAGCTATGAACCTCAGCAGGGATGTGGCAGGGAGGCCCTGCCATGGCAAACACACGGGACCTGAAAACTAAACCATCCACTGTGGAAAAGCTAAACAGTGCAGCCCTAAGTAGGTCAGTGACAAGAAGCTGTGGAGACAACTTCCGTGGGTGAGGGCCAGAGAGCAGGCGTTCCCCTTGGCATGTGGCAAAGGCAGCCAGCAAAGAGCAGGGCAGGAGATGGGTAGAAGGGGAGGCAACACAGGTCTAAGTCTGGAGACCATGGTCTATCCCAAGAAGGGGCAGGTGTGATCCTAGAGCTCATGAGTCTCCCCAAGTGGATCTCCATCATGGTCTGGATCTAGCCATCTGATCTCTCTGTGGGATTGCTAAGGCACGGCTCACAATGATAGCTACGCCCCATGGCTAGAGCAGCCGAGTTTTCACTGTCCATTTCCCAAGCCTCCGGGAGGGCTGGGATTCACCAACCAAAGCAGGGGCTGAAGAGCAAGTGCCCAGTACTAGCGAGCAAAGGAAGCCAGGGCCCGGGGTGGGTAAGGTTTGGCTGGGGAGGGACCCTCACTCACAGCCCCCGGCCTCTGACTGGGCTGGGAAAGCATCTGCTGGCTGGGGCAGGTTGGAGCTGCTTCACCCCAGGCCAGATTTCTCTGCAGATGTTCCCAGCGGAGACCTTGAAAGGCCTCTTGTCCCTGAGTCCTGCTTCACCCACAGCAGCAGCCCGACTCCCCCAGCACCCAGTGGGCCAGGGTGTTCCCAGGATCAGCTCTCTGCTAGGGCTAAGGAGGGTATGTGTGTAAGGTTTCCATACCACCCTGTTGCTGTACAGTCAGTTGAATCAAAGACTAGTAGTGAAGGGCCTGAACCAAACCCCAGCTCTGAATCCCCCCAAATGATTCTCCAGAAGTTTGGAATCAGAGCCAAGTGTTGCTTCTCAGACCATTCCTGCATGGAATAAGTCGACAGCTGCCCTGCACCCTCAGCCCAAGCTGTGCCTCAAGCTACTCAGTGGGGCTGGCAAAAGCTGCTTCTAACTTCTAACTTCTAAAGCTGCTTCTAACTATCCGATGAAGTGAGCTGTAGCTCACGAAAGCTCATGCTCAAATAAATTGGTTAGTCTCTAAGGTGCCAAAAGTCCTCCTTTTCTTTTTGCTTCTAACTTGGGATCTTTACCAAGGTTTGCACTGCTCTGTGCTTCCTGGGTTTGCCTGGGACGGGAAGGGGAAATGAAAATGCTTCTGCACACAGTGTCCCTGATCCAGTCGGCATTGGAAGGCCCCACGGATCCAGTGATGGAGATATTTCTAGAGCAAAACGTTTCCCACAAACATCACAAAAGTTGGATACTGCCCAGAACCAGCAACTCCTCCAGTAAGAATCATAGAATCATAGAATATCAGAGTTGGAAGGGACCTCAGGAGGTCATCTAGTCCAACCCCCTGCCCAGAGCAGGACCAATCCCCAACTAAATCATCCCAGCCAGGGCTTTGTCAAGCCTGACCTTAAAAACTGCTAAGGAAGGGGATTCTACCACCTCCCTAGGTAACGCATTCCAGTGTTTCACCACCCTCCTCGTTGAAAAAGTTTTTCCTAATATCCAACCTAAATCTCCCCCACTGCAACTTGAGACCATTACTCCTTGTCCTGTCATCTGCTATCACTGAGAACAGTCTAGATCCATCCTCTTTGGAACCACCTTTCAGGTAGTTAAAAGCAGCTATCAAATCCCCCCTCATTCTTCTCTTCCGTAGACTAAACAATCCCAGTTCCCTCAGCCTCTCCTCATAAGTCATGTGTTCCAGACCCCTAATCATTTTTGTTGCCCTCTGCTGGACTCTCTCCAATTTTTCCACATCCTTCTTGTAGTGTGAGGCCCAAAACTGGACACAGGACTCCAGATGACTCCCCACACTGACTGGGGTGCTGGTATAACAGCCCTGGTCTGTCCACAGACCAAGTAGATCATAGAGAGCAGCCTGGAGCTGTGAGCCCCAGGGTCCTCAGCCAACACACCTCAACCCCAACCTGCCAGCTCGTCCAAAGGAAATTCAGCTGATGCACATTGTTCCCACCGAGCCTTTCTGCAAAGAGAAGCTGAGCCTCACCGCAGGCCAACCCAAGCCAGCATGCTAGGGCCAAAAGGCCCCCTATACGCCCAGCTGCCACTCACCTGTTACTCTCAACAGACATTCACAAATCAGGTCTCTTCCTGCTATTATTCCTATCTGTGGGTATTTTCACAGGCCCACCTAGCGCCAGGCCCCCGCTGTCTTGATGGCATGCTGCAGAACAGCGAGGGCAAGCACCTCGCCCCTGTAAAGCTCCAGAATTTGTTCAAAGGAGGACAACACTCCTCTGCAGAGGGGGCATTCAAGCCACCCAGCCTTGGCCAAGGCTCCCTGCAGCAGAGCCAAGAACAGAAGCTGGGTCTCCTGACGCCCAGCCCTGTGCCCTAGGCACAGGCATACACTCGGGCAGCCCAGGGGCGCATGGCTGCCCTTGCCGAGACGCTCTTTACCTTGGGTTGGCGTGCTGGAGTCCGGCCAGGCTCCAGGTGCAGCTCCCCTCGGGCAGCAGACAGCACAGCCATAGGGCAGCTGGCAGGCACCTCATCCAGCTGAGCTGCGGCATGCTCATCGTGTCCGGCCCTGGGGCCAGAGCTTCTGAGCTCACACAGAGCCCTTGATCGTTCTTGAGCTCAGCCGATCCCCCCAATGTGCTCCCACACGCCCCCTCCTCCGGCCAAGGCAGGCGCTCAAGGATCTCTCATTGAGAAAAAAAGAGAAGCCCCCTTGGCACAGGGGCTCATGAGAAGTGTAGTGGCCCGGTGCCAGGCCCGGTCGGAATAAAGCCCAGGTTTAGCTGGGACCGTGAAGGAGGAAGCTGAGCTTGCAGGGATGGGGGGAGAGAACTCAGATCAGTGCTGCCAATCCTCCCTGCACGGTCCTGCAAAACAAAAACAATAACTGGAGTTAAGTCGCTCTCTGCACTAACTTGGCTGGGGCTCCTGCAGCAGCTGGGGGCAGGCTCCAGTTAAGCTTAGAGAGACAGCAAAATTACCAAAGAGGAGAGATCGCCTCTTTGTGCTGCAAACTTGCAGGAGAAAAGATGGGCCACAGGGAGGGAGCACCAGCTTCTCTCACCTTCCAACGCTCTGGAGCTTCCTCAGGGCCCAGGCAGAGGGGCTGGGGGCTATTGCAAGCCAGCTTTTCCTCCTCTCACACTCTGCCCAGCGTTGCTCTTACCGCTGGGATGTTTGGCAAAGGGAAAAGCGATTAAAGGCAGCTCAAAGTCCTGCCCCTTTCTTTCGACTGGATTAAGGAACCCAAACAATCCCAGAGGCTTTTCAAAAGACGAGCGTTGCTCTCTCCTCCTTCCCACCCCCCCCCTTCATGTTCAAGACGTGGACTGATTTCATATTCCCAGCCTTGCTAAGCGGCAAGGGGAGGGGGAAGCCACTTAGATCATATACAGAGCTCACTTCTTTCTGCTTCCCAGATCCAGCCCTCCACAGAAAGCCACTTCCTGGGATTGCTCGGAAAGGGTCCAATTTTCCTCTTCCACAGCTGGCTGCAGTGGCCTTACTCCTAATTTACATCGGTGTAAAGGAGAGAGGCCCAACAGGAAGCTGCTGCTAAACTTGGAAAGGTGAAGGGGGAGGCGGCGCAATCTGGGCTAAGTCCCCAGTCGGTGTAGTTCCATAGTGCTCCACTTACTTTGATGGTTGCCCCGAATTTACACCAGCTGGGGTCTGGCTCCCTTTCGGCTTTGATTTGGCTGGTGTAAATCAGGAGGAACGAATGGGGTGCCAGCATTCAAGCAGAATCAGGGCTTTTGTTTTCAATAGACTTCACCAGCTGACGGCGTGGCCTGGGGACTTTCTTTTCCTGTCTCTCCCAGGCAGGAACCACTCTGTGGCTGGGAACGTGCAGCCCAGGAAAAGCAGCTCCTTAGGCGAGAACAGACCCTGCCTCTCAGTTTCAGACCAGTCCCATGAAGGAGAGGAGCCAAGGGCATGCGGCGGGGGGGAGGGGGGGTGCTTAAGGTCAGGGCCTTGGGGCTGCCACTGCAGGAAGAGCAGCAGTGTTAACATTAGAAGGGGAGGTGCTGTGAATATGTGTGTTTCTGTCCCTTTTACTTTGCTCCCCATTCTCCACTGCCAGATCACGGGAAACAAGAGGATCTTTATCCTTCAGGACATAATCGCAAGCCAGTCATTTTCTGTGCTGCTCCCTTTGCTGTTACTGGAGACAAAGAAGAACCTGGACCAAAACTCCCCGGACTTAAACTCTCCGCAGCGCTGGAGCTGGCTCCAGAGCCACACATCCCCGAATCCAGACCTGCATCCAAATTTCCAAACTGTGCCCCCTCTCCCATTTTCTGCATGGTCCAAAGCACTCCCCACCCCCACCCTGTCACGGAGTCCCTGGGCGATGCTCTGGAACTGCTCCCCATGAAGCCAGTCAGGACTCTGGGGTAGTCGCCTTTCTGTGAGCAGCCTGTCTTCAGGACACGCAGCTCACACAGCTTCCACCTTCCTGGGTCTGACCTCGGAGCATTCAGCATCCTCTGCCCCTCCGTGCGCTTCCCACAGCGAGTCCGCTCAGGCGGGGCTCCTGGGGAATCCAGAGGGTCCTGCACCCCAACTTCGCAGTCAGACGTGACTCTCAGCCAGCCAGTAAAACAGAAGGTTTATTAGACGACAGGAACATGGTCTAAAACAGAGCTTGCAGGTGCAGAGAACGGGACCCCTCAGCTGGGTCCATTTTGGGGGGCAGTGAGCCAGACAACCACGTCTGCACTTCACTCCATGTCCCAGCCAGCCCCAAACTGAAAACCCCCTCCAGCCCCTCCTCCTCTGGACTTTGTTCCTTTCCCGGGCCAGGTGGTCACCTGATTCCTTTGTTCTCCAACCCTTCAGCTCTCACCTTGCAGGGGGGGAAGGGCCCAGGCCATCAGTTGCCAGGAAACAGGGTGTCGGCCATTCTCTGTGTCCAGACTCCTGCACACACATGCCCTCTAGGGCTCTGCAATGATCATACACCCTTACTCCACCCCCTAGATACTTAAGAACTGCCTAGGGGAAACTGAGGCACCCCCACACTATTCAGAGGAAACATTAAGAACAGGCCCACTTCGTCACACACCCCATGCAAACACCACTGGACTTCAGACCCAGGCTATGGCTACACTAGGGAGCTTACAGAGGAGCGGCTGCTCCCAAGTGGCTGCAAACTGTAAGCTCTCCAGTGTAGCCGTTCTGCGTGACGGGAGAAAGCTCTTCTGTCAGCTTAATTACTCTAGCCACCGTGAGCGGCGGTAGCTATGCCGATGGGAGAAGCTCTCCCGCCGACATAGCGCTATCCACACCGGCGCTTACATTGGCATAAGCAATGTCGTTCCGGGGAGTGGCTAATTCACACCCCTGGGTGACATAATGTGTGTCGTCTTAAGCTGTAGAGTAGCCATAGCCCCAGAAGTGGATCTGAGCTTGGTGGCCTGAGTTTAATACAATCAGGGTCTTGCGTTCTCTCTTCCTGGCTTCTCCTACTGCAAAATCATCAGCACAATACCACACACCTGCCACGGCAGGAAGATGACAGGGAAACTAATATCCGCCTGTACCATGCATTATCACAGATGCAGGCTTCTGATGAGTTAAACTGCAGGATGCAGCCGGGGCAGAGAACATTTTGGGAGGGAGTCAGCGTTAGCTCTGGTTCCCACACAAACATCCTCACCTCAGCAATTAGCAAAGGCGATGACGATCTACTTCTATTGCACCGAAGACTGAAGGAGTGGCTGAAAGAAACAATGGTAACAAACAGGGTGTGCCAGGTAAATGAATCGATGTTTAAGCTGGAGAGATGTGAACCCTTAACTGGGTTTGAAAGCGACTCTTCCTTGCTTGCTTTCTATATTTGCTCAGGCCCAGAGTTTTGTGCTTTCATGACAAATCCACTGTGCTTGCTGCAAAGGGAAAACTGAGTTTTGGCCAGCTGTAATTCTGTGAGCAGTGGAATCAAAGAAAGAGCGAGATGCGAGGGGATAGGATCTGGAGCGTGGGATGCTTGAGTCTCCATCAAATATCTCTCTGCCCCAATCTCAGCCAGTGCACATGGCTCCTGGCCTCTGTAGTGGAAACCTGCCCTCCAGGGAGAGGGATCCCTGCAACGGTTCCTCTACAGCTGCTCCCTTGCTCACAGCTCCTCCAAATGGTTCACAGGAGCCCTTTCAAAAAATTTTTCCCATTGGGCAGAATGGGGTGGGGGTGGGAAGCCATTGCCCACCCCCCCACTACAAGCCTCAGGCAGGCATGGAACTTGCTCACACACACACACAGGGCCACGTTGGACTGACTAGAACTGCCCCCCCACAAATATAAAAGTCAAACTACACCTATGCTGCTTTTTCCCAGAGGGTTACGTCTACACAGCAAAGCAAAACCTGCAGCCGGCCATGCCAGCCGACATGGGCTCACGGGGCTGTTTCATTGCTGTGTAAACTTCCAGGTTTGGGCAGGGTCCTAGAGCCCAGGCTCCAGCTTGAGCCCAGGAGTCTACACGGCAAGGAAACAGCCCAGAGCCGGAGCCAGGCCGGAGCCTGCGAGCCTGAGTTGGCTGGCACAGGCCAGAGCAGATTTTCTTTGCTGTGTTGAGGTACCCCTAGAGGGCAGCAGTTCCTCGGGAATCAGGAGCCAGCCGAAGGGAGCGTGGGGAGAGAGTGATACCTGGGGCAGGCAGAGCGCAGAGATTCCCACAGGCCTGGGAGCTATCGGGCGGCTTCTGTGGACAGCAGGTTGTTTAGACTGGCAGCTTTCTGGAGCAGGGACTGTCTTTTTGTTCTATGTCAATGAGGCCTTGAGCCTCAAACGGGGTCCTCTAGGTGCTACCTGTTACAACCTGGCCTGTACCACACCCGGTACAGTCACCAGTCTGGGTCCCATGCGCTTCCAAGCTCCTTGGGCCAGGCCAGAATCTAGTCACTGTTCCGAGGACACTCCCAGGCTCGGCCCTCTTGTCTGACCCCCATCCTGCTGCTGCCCAGCTGCCCTTGATCCTGAAATCAGTGTCAGAGACAGGGGGGCTGGAACAGTTTGTATAGTGCTGAGAACCACTGCATGCATCCAATGAAGTGAGCTGTAGCTCACGAAAGCTTATGCTCAAATAAATTGGTTAGTCTCTAAGATGCCACAAGTCCTCCTTTTCTTTGAACCAAACTGTAAACCCTGTATATGATGGAAACCACTCCAGGCCAGGGGGTGCAGCAGCACCCCCAGCTCCCCTAGTTCCAGCATCTATGGTCAGAGATGTCACAATCCCTCAGAGCTTCACCTGGGCTGCAAGTTTAACCCCTTCAGGGACAATGTGGCAGGAAAGCAAGGCCCACACACTTAGCAAAGGGCCACAGTGACCTTACTCTGAAAGCATTTGAGTTACAGAGCTTTGGAAAGAAAAGTCCGGAGACACCCCTCCCACGTCTGATCTCATTCCTCCCAGCCAGTCTGAGGTATGTCAGCATCCCAGGATGGCCAGAGTCCTGCCTGCTCTCACTTTCCTGCAAGTCCTCCTTAAGTGTGGCGATGAGGATATTGTGCTCCCCCAACCTGCAGGCACCAGGCAGGTTGGAAACTCATTGGTCCATGGGCTGGGCCAACAATTGAGAGTCATACAAAGGCAATGGCCCTAGATTCCTTTCTTGATGGCTTCCTTGGGATGGTCCTTCCACAAGGTATCAAGCCCCTTCCCAGCTAGGACAGCTATCTGTGAGGCAGGACGCTCCAACTGAGACGTGTGTTCAGCACACAGAACAATCTGATGTTCATAACTGGATCCAATGTGCCCAGCTCTGTCATGCTGCCACAACAGAAATAAAGTGTAATGACGATAGTAAAAGCATCCATTTCAAGTGGCATTAAAAATTCAGTGAGGACCTTCCTCCTGGCAGGTGAACATAAGAATGGACACACTGGGTCAGAGCAATGGTCCACGCAGCCCAGTATCCTGTCTTCCGACAGTGGCCGATGCCAGGTGCTTCAGAGTGAATGAACAGAACAGGGCAGTTATCGCATGCCAGCATCAGGCAGTCCGAGGCTTAGGGACACCCGGAACATGGAGTTGCATCCCTGACCATCTTGGCTCATAGCCTGTGATGGACCTATCTTCCATGAACTTGTGTAATTCTTTACTGAGCCCTGTTACACTTTTGGCCTTCACAACATCTCCTGGCAGCAAGTTCCACAGGTTGATGGTGCGTTGTGTGAAGAAGTGCTTCCTTTTGTTTGTTTTAAATCTGCTGCATATTCATTTTATCAGGTGACCCCGGGCTCTTGTGTTATGTGAAGGGGTAAATAACACTTCCTTATTCACGTTCTCCACACCAGTCATGATTTTATAGACCTCTCTCATATCCCCCCTCAG